GACTTTCTTGATCTTACTACTATTAAATACTAATAATTTTCTTGTCCTTATCGTAGCTGTCACTTGGAAAGAGCAATAAAATTTAGGGAACTAGTATGTATACACTACAACTGTCAGCACGAATCTCAAAGCATTTAAATGACCCAGACGATGGTCAGACAACCAAGACGTCCTACGACACTACTGCCAACTGCATGGTTAAGAATCGACTGACACACTATGATGAGAGATTTGAATGACAAACATTGCCGACAATCCCAACTAACCGGGGCGTAGGCGGGAATCCTTGATCGCGACTAATTGGTCGACCCACATTTACTGTAGCGGATGAGATCGACATTCGATCAGACGCTTCGGCTGACCGACACATGCTTCGAAAAGGCATAGTCGCCACTCAGTCGGTCGCTTCGGTCGGCCGAATTCAAGCAAGTAAGCCAATCAATTACCGCCATGTTAAAATTCAAATTGTAATGCAGCTGCATGAAATTCATACAATAAATAATGATATTCATTGTATTAAGAACGATTTTCATAACCGTTACATTTTTTCTGTAATTGAACAAAATATACACTTATAAAGATGAGGTAAAAATACAGATAAAAGGATTTTTACCGATTTTCTCTATAGGAAACCCTTGACTTGTATACTCTCTTTTTCTCTTCTTTTATTCACTCAATTCTAAACTCTCGAGGCGTGTTCACAAAGAACAATTCAGGCTCCAACAACTAATTTCATTCCTTGCCACATGATACTAGATGTGTCTCATATTGCTTATTTATACTTGTGGGAGACCTTAAGGTTGCCCGGAATTTCCAGGACATCTACCTCCGACAGAGATGTGAAATTTATAAGCCATTTTTAAAGGACTTTGAAGGAAAACTAGACGCTAAGCTCCTATTCAGCTCAATAGCTCCAAACGAATGACCAAACAGAGTTCAAGAATAGGAGACTAGGAAACCGCTTGGAGATGCTTCATGAGGAAGAGTATCAAGCATTGGAATCTCATTCTAGCTCAAGTCGAGTTTGCCTACATCAGATCTGTGAGTCAGACTATAGGACGTACACCATTTGAGATTGTATACGGGCACACTCTGCTTACACCATTATAGTTGGTACTACTTTTGCTGACATTGAAGGTCAGCGAAGATGCTACAAAACAGGTTCACTAGATTCAGAAACTCTACGAGGAGGTTGGCAAGGAGATCGCCAAGCGGAACCTCCAACACTTCTAGGTTGCCGCTGATTCCATCCAGCGTCTCCCGGTTGCTGTGCATCCCATCTAACCCTTCCAGATTGCCGCAGATTCCATCCCACACCTCGAGGTTGTCGTTGATCTCCTTCTACATCTCTAGGAGGTTGCTGCCTCCTTCCCGCGACTTCCAGTTTGTTGTAGTCACCTATCAGCATTTCCCGGGTCGTAGGCTCCCGTCTGCACCTCCAACAGGCCGCAATCTTCCTTTTCAGCCCCCAGCTGACCACAAACACCCCCCTACCCTTCGTCTAGGACTGTAAAAAAAGCTCGTTGTTCGCGAACAGTTCGTGTTTGGTTCGTTAAGTAGCTCGTGTTCGGCTCGTTCATTATGTAAACGAGTCGAACACAAACAAATTTTTAAAGCTCGAATTATAAACGAGCCGAACACGAACAACTCTTTGTTCGCTCGTGTTC